CCAGTCAGCACTGCTAACCGGACACTCAGGTCCCGTTTTCTACTGGAATTTCCAGTCTAAAACTGGATACATGGCAACAGGGCGGTCATAAAAGCCTGATGGGGGGAGGGGCAAGCAATCATTTTTAAGTGGGAGGTGAGGGGGAAGCAAGTGGTGGGTGTGCTAGGGAGTGGAGAGGAGCTAGTGGGCAGGGCCATGTCTGCTGTACTGCCCAGGCAGGTTGGAGACTGTGCGGATCAGCTGACACAGGATCCCCAGCCCAGGTGACATGACAGCCAGTGGTGGATTTAGAGTTAGTGGGGCCCCCCAGCCCTGTGCTCAGCTTCACTTTTGGGGCCCCTCCTTGGGACCCAGCCAAGAAAAAGAACATTCTCTCTTATCTCCCCCCACCCTCGTTTTTCATTCTTTTTTTCTTCATCCTCCTCCTATAAGTAATAGCAAGTAAATGAAAATAAAATTAGGTACCTTGATTGTTCTTGTAGTCCAACTTATTTTTCCACAGATTACTTGAAAATTGCGGAGGGTCTCGACGGACCACTTAATGATCTTTCCAAATATTGTAAAAAAAACGTTGGGGTGCGGGGTCTGGCCAGGAGCTAGGGTGAGGGAGGGGTCTCAGGGTTGGGGTAGGAGGTTGGGGTGTGGATCGCTTACCTGGGGCAGCTCCTGTTTGGTGTGAGGAGTGCAGGAGCTCCCATTTGGTGCTCAGGATGGGGGTGGGGATGTGGGGGGGTGCAGGAGTCAGGGCATGGGATTTGGGGGGCTGGGGATGTGGGATGTGTGCAGGAGTCAGTTTCATCTGAAGCAGATGGTGTATTTACCTGTTTCCCTAAGCTGCACTCTTCCCCAGAACAACAGCACCTTCATGCTCTGGCTGTCAGGTGATATCTAGACTTTTATCTAGACAGGACTAAACCATTTCATGTTTTGCCTCGCCTCATCTGTTCGTGTCATATGCAGACCTCATGAAGGAGCAAGAGGTCTCTGCACAGACCATCTCTAAATGGATAACATTGTATACCAAGGCTGAGTGTGAGAGAACTTCAGCTACGCCTCCTCAGCGGATATAGACTCGCTCCACGAGAGCGCAGGCAACATTGATAATGTTCCTCAATGACATTTCCATACTGGACATTCATAGGGCAGCCATGTGGTTGTCCATATATGTTTATGGACCACTGTGCTATTACCGCATCTTCCAGAGTGGACACGGGCCTTGGAAGGGTGGTCTTGCGATCCGTACTGCAGTAGACTGCGAGCTCCACCTCTGGTGTTCGTGAGTCACCTAAGTTGAATATACATCTGCATCTACTTGAAGAAGAAGAAATGGTTACTTACTATAACTGTGGTTCTTCGAGGTATGATGCAGACGTGTGTTCTACGACCCACCCTCCATCCCCTCTGCATCGGAGTCTCTTCTCGGGGTTTCAATGCAAAGGAACTGGGGGGGGATGGGGGCGGCACTACCTCATATAGTCAGGGGTGAGCCATAGCCATGAGGTGCATGCACCGCCTCTCTATGGGTACTGCTAGGCAAAAGTCTCCGGCGCACTGGGCATACACATACCTAAGGCTTGGTCTACACTAAACCCCCAAATCGAACTAAGGTACGCAACTTCAGCT